GAGCGAGTACTATCGAGGAAGTACTGAGTGCGAGTGCTATTCAAAGGCGTCTGCCGCCAGTATTGTTCAACGGTGTTACTATAGTTGCATCTGCGATTACAAAGTCTCTACTACAACGAGCAATACGAAAGTGATAACGAGTGTTCGTGGACATTACAAAAGTGGCAACGAGCGATCGTTGACATTACAAAACTGGCAAAAGATTTTGAAAGGAAAGTTTATTGTTTATTGTGTGGACGTAAACGATAAACGAAGATGCAAATCAATAAGTAAGCCGTTTAAGTAAAGAATAGGCAAATTAATAAACTACGAACGCAGACATAAACACGAGAAACGATATAATAACAATCCTAAAAAAAAAAATAAAATAAAATAAACACAATATATAAATAATGAGGAAAAAAACTAAACAAAAAACACTATCCACAGTTATTTCTTCTCAATAGACTCGAGAATAATTTGAAAAGTAACCGTTATCGCGTACTAAGCGCGAAAATAATACAACATACCTTCTACCAATAATGCCCCCTGAAACAGCATATATAAATAGTCGATTTAAAACACAATAAACATGGCACATGGCCTGAAGATTGCGTTTATGCATGAAAATAGTAGTGTCATATATATATATATATATATATATATATATATATATATATATATATATATTTATATATATATATATATATATATATATATATATATATATATATATATATATATATATATATATATATATATATATATATATATATATATATATATATATATATATATATATATATATATATATATGTATATTTATGTTATAATTTTCGAATAAATACTTATATTTGCTCTACTCTGTATTGAGCACTTTTTAAGAATAATATTTGTTTGCTATTGGAATGTATTCCGTATACACCAATCCTATACTTGATATATATATATATATATATATATATATATATATATATATATATATATATATATATATATATAAATAAAGAGAGAGAGAGAGAGAGAGAGAGGCACTCACAAAAATATATGCACTTACATCACACACACTCCTAAAAAACTAAAAGATAACATATATTCAACACACACTTAACACACACATCCAGTTCCCGGCAACTAATAAAACTGTCAAAATGATCAAGGGGGTGGAATTCTGAGACTCAGAAATCTCCCAGCTTCTATCTTAAAAACAACTTGAAAGAAGCCAGTTTACCAATACACGAACTGACCAAAATTAACGAAAAAAAGACAAAACAAATGAAAACTACTGATAAAATTTACTTTCTTCAGAGACAGTCATTCACTCCTGTAGTTCACTGATACTAACGAGTAATGATTTTTTCTCCTGATGATGGCCATGCTGGCAGAAGCTAGTCACGGAACCTAATTGAAATAATAAAACAAAAGAATATTTATATACAACAATACGCTTGTGTGATTCTGATGATCGCAAAAGCGTGAACCCAGGATCACAAATTCATATGCATATAACTGAGCATATATATATATATATATATATATATATATATATATATATATATATATATATCTTATGCAATGTTACATTAAGAACATGCACATATCCACTACAAAATTGTATATTTTTGTTTCAACGTCAAAAAAAGGAAAAACTTTTTTAAACGTCTCATCAGGTGGGGAATCACGGTGTTACTAAAAACTTTTTTTCAGAAATACAGTTATCGAAGCAAATATCCCCCCACTTCTGTTCTTTGCTAATTTTCCTAAAATGTCTTCTAGAATTTACATGTAAACATGGAAAGGAATCCAATGCATTAAATAGTTGTGGGTGAACGAAAAGGAATGGAAGAGAAAAAGAAAGAAAGGGGCAAGGATATGTGCATGTTCTAATGTAACACTGCATAATAAATAAATAAATATTTACGACTCGACTTTGTGCATTGAGCACTATTTTTAAATTAATGTTTTGAACGCTGTAATCCTACTGTTCGTACTCTTTCACTTTGATATATATATATATATATATATATATATATATATATATATATATATATAAGGCAGGATGTGTGTGTGTGTGTGTGTGTGTCACAAATGCACGCCCGCAATTTTCGACGGATTTGCACCAAAATTTACACACACATGCTCCAAGTTAGCCGGAAGGCCAAGACCGACTTTGCATTTCCCAACTCCCATCGATAGTGGAAATAATCGATTTTATCATGCTTCTACGGCAGTTTTCATGTAGTTTGTGGCCATTTTCTTCTGTCCAGAGTGAGAGCCAACAGCTGACTGACACGAATGTTAACTAGCATGCTAGCATGCAAAAAAATCGATAGCTGCATTCGTCACAAGTGGGAAAAATTTAAATCTGCATGGCACTTTACTCCAATTGGCTCATTCGCTTGCTTAAACTCGACGTTGATTCTGATTCCGCAGAACTGGGTTGGGTGTGAAAAAGTATTTGTTGTTAACATTCTTTTTTCATTCGGTTTTTCCAGTTAAGAGTCCTTTTTTAAAGCTGATCTTTTTGTCTTCATTTTGTTTAGTTCTTTTTTCGTAACAGATTTAATGTTTGGTTTAGAGATTAGAAAAAAATTCGCAGTGTGAGATAGGCAAGAGGTAAGGCATGTAGCAACATCAGCACGGCAAAGGGCACTCCTTTAAAGCCAAAGAAGGGCAAAAATATTTAAAGTCAAGTGATAGCGATTGCTGTATGTCGTATGATTTTTTAATCAAGCACGGGCAACGTCGGGCCATGCTGCTAGTGTATATATATATATATATATATATATATATATATATATATATATATATATATATATATATATGCGTGTGTGTGTGTGTGTATTTATGTATGTGAGTTTGTATGTGAATGTGAGTGATGGTTTACTGCTCAGATGGAAATCTCTCAGAACTGTGTTCGAATTATATCCGATTATGCTTCATTGATTTTCACGAAAAGATTTTCAGGAAAAGTAGGAATCCATCTGTTTTTCCCACCAACTGTGGTTGAAATAATAATGCAAACTGTGCTCTCCAGCCTTGTCTGGCAACCAGTTTAGCAAAACGAAAACATTGAGTTAAAACCTGGATCTATCACCAACCATCTAGAGCTTTGTTGTCACTGGTTTATTGCTGGTGCTAATCAGAGATTGGTATTAATATTATTCAAGTATCTATCACCAGAATCTCTTTGTGCTACAGTTGCTGTTTTACATAAAAGAATCAAGAAATGTTTAATTTATTAATGGGTCGGTCACGAAATCAAATGATATGATATCATAAATATAAATAATTAAGATTGTGTTTCGCCAAAAAAACATAGTTCGATTTCTGGGGAGTAACGTTTTAAAAATCAGCAGTCTTGTAATTATAATGCTTAAAATTCAGATCCTTCAGAGCAACAAATATAATTAAATTATGTCTGAACAATGTTTTACGAAAATGTACCCACTGTTCATAAAGAAAAAAAACTCTTCAATTTCGTGCTTGGAAATTATGATGAATTTTTATGACACTCTACTGGACACGTGTATGAATTTCGAAAACTACCAAAAAGACATGAGGATTTCTTTAAAAAAAAAATATAGACGTTTATTCTAACACGGGCATTTGCTAAATATAACATTTATCGCAATGAGAAATTTTGGCTAAAAAAATGAAATCCACGAATTCCTTAAAAATTATTTGTTTCCGCTTCGGATATAAAAATATCGTCAACAGATATGGGCTTCTGAAGGACCAAACCAGAGATGTGACTTTATTTAATAAAGTAATACGGCCTTGTTTAGATGTTAAAGCATTTTTTTTAACTGAATGGTTCTATGGATTTAGACAGCAAATGTTCATTCAGGTAAGTGTTATTAAAAACAATAAACATTTTTTGTCGATGTTACTGATTAACTTATCTAAATTACGAATAATCCTTCTCAATCAAGGTTGAAACCACGTCAGAAATTGTCCGAAGTTCATTTCAAAAGAAAAGTATTCGAAATTTGGTCCAAGCTTTCGATTTTCTTAAGTCATCATCAGGGTAGATTGAGACAACAGTCACAAATGCCCACTTATCTGTCTGTACTATATGGTTGAGGTCAATTGCATCTGCTACCAGGGGACTTCATAGCAAAATAGTTGATGTAATGAATATGCATACACCTGGTTCCTCCTTCACAGTAATATGATTGGCTGGTGTCAGCCATAAATACAGACTGATGTGGAGGTACAAGGGACGCCTATAGTCTTCGCCTATTGCCTACCACTACGACGCGGACCAGTCCATTACTGTTACCTGCTAGATTGTCTTTCATAGCAAAATAGTTGATGTAATGAATATGCATATACCTGGTTCCCCATTACAGTAATATGATTGGCTGGTGTCAGCCATAAATACAGACTGATGTGGAGGTACAAGGGACGCCTATAGTCTTCGCCTATTGCCTACCACTACGACGAGGACCGGTCCATTACTGTTACCTTCTAGATTGTCCTAATCGGTTACAGTAGTCCAAAACCACTTTGCTACTTTGAACAAATATATCCCTTTCCGGGACATATCAATAGTAAAAGCTTGATAGGATTTTATTGTGATCGCCCCGCTGACGATTACATGCAATTTTCCCGAACATCAGAATAATTTTATTTCTCGCTAATAATCTTGTACCTTTTAATTATTGGGTACTTTAATCGGAAATAAATTTAATTTCCCGAGTCGAACATTATCTTTTTTGTTTTGTCTTTTGCGAAACACTATTTTTGTTATATGAACAGTGTTGAAAGAAATAATTAAAAATTCAGTCGTTTGTTCATTGGTTACATTTTGCAAAATGGGTTGGGCTAACAAAAACTATTTCACCACTGCTCGTTTATCTAGGCTCGAACGTCGGCCTCCCGGGTGACAAATAGGTTAACCACGAGTCACGCTTTTACATAATAATTAGATTTTGAAGCTTTACGCGTCTGCAGGCACACCGGAGACGTGTATAATTGTATGTATTTTCATTTGTGTGTGTATGTACACGGATATATCAAAATAGATAGATAGATAGATAGATAGATAGATAGATAGAAAAGACTGAGTGAGTGAGAGATAAATAGAATATGTATAAACTAAGATAGATAGATAGATATTAGGTTGGTTAAAAATAATGACGTAATAATGTGGTTTTTTGACGTGTTTTTTTAACGTCAAAAACGACATTATTACGTCATTATTTTTGCACCAACCTAATAGATAGATAGATAGATAGATAGAAAGAAAAGACTGAGAGAGTGAGAGATAAATAGAATATGAATAAAGTGCGATAGATAGATAGATAGATAGATAGATAGATAGATAGATAGATAGATAGATAGATAAACTGAGAATGAGCGATAGCTAGACGGATATGTAGAAATAGATAAACAGAATATGAATAAATATAGGTAGATAGATAGAATAACACGAATAGACTGAGAGAGAGAGAGAGAGAGAGAGAGAGAAAGCGATAGAATTTGAATAAGTGAGATAGATAGATAGATAGATAGATAGATAGATAGATAGATAGATAGATAGATTAATAAACTGCGAGCGAGCGATAGATAGACGGATATGAAGAGATAGATAAACAGAATATGAATAAACTGAGATAGATAGATAGATAGATAGATAGATAGATAGATAGATAGATAGATAGATAGATGAAAATGAAAAGAAGACGTACGTTTTCAACACAACAATACATGTCTGTTTGTTTACAAGCAAATTTATGCAAACGAGTGTATTTAAGTGACAACAACTAACTACTTGAAAAGTAAAAACGCCCAAAATACATGACACAGAATAAGCATAAACTCCCCGCCCGCCGCTGCTTCACGCTGCCGGGTCAACTAACAAACTGGGTTGGGCAGTCTTGGCACCCCTGGTAAATTCTCTCAATTTACACCGACTGTTCTTTGGTTAGCAAGCTGTCGACCCCAAAGGCCAATTATGCCGCTGAAATATCTCGAGCAGAAATTTCTTTTTAACCTCCTCTCCCACGAGCCACACCAACAGGGTCACTAATAGTTAGAGGTGTACCATATGGACGGTGATCAGTTTCTTCTGGTACTGGTCTCTCCGTTGTCCGACCGCAAAGACAAATATTTAATTAAGTGAAGTCACTCCTTACTTAACGACAGGGTTGCGTACAGCTTCTCATTTAACGACTAGGTAAGCGAAAAGTTCTAGGTAGCCGCTATTTCATGAATACTACGCGTATAAAGAGTTTGTATCAACCAGTTTCAGAGAAATGATAGATAGATAGATAGATAGATAGATAGATAGATAGATAGATAAGAATGAGCAGAGACAGAAGAAATGATAGGGATGATCAAAATTCACACAAGGAATATATATATATATATGTGTATGTGTGTGTGTGTGTGTGTGTGTGTGTGTAAAACATTTATCAGTTAACCTGTATGAAAAAAAAATGTAAATATATATATATATATATATATAAAAGACAATAGGAAAACTGTAATGGTAGCCGACGCGTTTCGTCCAATGTGTAATTTTTCAAGGCAAAAACGAAATAAATTCATTAAAACAAAGTAACTAATAATAACAAAACAAAAATTCTTCCAGTTGCTAAGGCCATTTTGTTTTGTTATTATTAATTACTTTGTCTTAATGAATTCATTTCGTTTTTGCCTTTAAAATGTCCACACTGGACGAAACGCGTCGGCTAATATTACAGTTTTCCTATTGTCTTTTACATTTATATATATATATATATATATATATATATATATGTATAGATAGATAGATAGATAGAGAGAGAGGGAGGGAGAGGGTGAGAGAGATGGATAGATACAATAATATGAACAGACTAAGATAGATAGATAGATAGATAGATAGATAGATAGATAGATAGATAGATAGATAGATACTTTTAATATAAAGTTTGCACCATTTGTAACATTTCTTATTTATTCCTAAGCAATTATATTTTACCAAAATATACTTAACACTACACGTAATAAACATCTTTATTATTATTATTGCTGAAAAACTGAGGAAATATTGTTAATATTACATTCGAAATACATTTAAAATTAAAAGAAAAGGGATTGTCAGTGATCAGGAATCAATGTGAGCATTACCGAAGGAATAGGGCTGTTAAATATATAATGTAAAATGCATTGCAAATGAGAACAAGAGAAAGGCATCAAAATTACAAACAAGGAATTGCCATTAGTCAGAAATTGATGCAAGGATTATTTGGGGAATAACGCTAATATATGCAATTCCTCAAACGCCTCTAAACGCGTCCCTTGAGCTCGACGTCACGTTCCTACCTATTTCCAGAATTAAGTTCATAAATATTTTCGAATAAATAAATAAATAAGCGAAACCACGATAACTTTCTGTGTCTTTTTCGGATTATTGACTAATATAATATTATACGCCGACATTAGAAATAAGGTGCGATGGGTAAATTGTCACCTTTTTATACTTTTAATTTTGCGCATGCGCTTTGTTTGCTTTTGCTTTTGACGACTGCACAGTATACAAAGAACATTTGGGAACCATCTGTGAGAAAAAGAGCACTATGATGAAATTTGAAAACGGCATGCTGTACTGCTAGGCATTCACACCGGAAGCCCCACTGTGAACATTTCAGAGTGTTTGGGTGTCAATCTAAGAACAATGCAGAGGATTTGGAAAGAGTTGGATGATATATCCATTCAAGATCATTGTGTTTGGAGTGATCACTAGTGATGCCGTTATTCCTCTTCCTAGAAGCCCTCAGACGAAACATGGAGTGCTACATTAAGTGTCTTGAAGAGGTAGTGCAGCCTTGGGTCAAGAGGGTGGCTGCTGGAAGACAATATGCCGAGCAATTGGATTCTGCGCCATGCACCACAAGGAGGAGAATCCAATGATGGCTACTAGACAATTTCTACGATCACCCTTTAACCCTTACATCTGGCCACCTAACTTCTCACACTGCAACTCCCTTGAGTATTATGGGCGGGGCACAGTTGAGCGAGAGACCAACAAAACTTCTTGTAACACGAAAGATGAACTGAAGTCAAGTATTATGTCAGCATTTACCAAACTAAATCTCTTCCGTCCAGAAGAGATCTGCATCTTCGAAGTCGTCTGGAGACAGTGGTTGAAGCTAATGGCGATTTTATAAAATAAATTTACTCTTTACTACTTCAAAATATTTTTTTGGTAAATTTACCTGTTAAAATGAGATGTTAGTATTATTTTTATTTTTACGTAATTTAGAAGACAGTTTATCCACGCACCTCATCGGTACATCGGTATTAATGTACTAGCCTACATCAGATATTTTTTACAAATCACCAAACGGACTGATTGCTAATTCTTGGCCAAAGAATATGACAGACTTATTAATCATTACATTTATTTACTCGGCTTAACATTAACACCGAGTTAATCCACAATTTTGAAACCCCCAGCGAAAATCGAACTCATGACACAAGAGAACTGGTTTAAGAGAGGAACTTGAACAGTGAATGTAGAATTTACACTAATAAAGATGAATGTGGTAAAATATGAGAATGCTGACTCTTCCTACAATACAATTAATGGCTTTCAAGTCGATAACCACAAGCCGAACATCTTACGTTCCACTAAGGAATTGACTTCCGGATAAAGCCAAATTCAGTGCATGTTCAACTTTTATTTTTATTTTTTAACCATTTTTCCACAAGCAAGGCAATAAAGCCACTAAGATGCAATGGGCTACTGAGTGTGAGAAAATATGAAAAAAAGAAAATTCTACTGAGGCTAGAGAACTGTAAAAGACACAGGAATTAAAAAGACAGAAGATAACGATTGAAATCACATTTACACTTTTAATGTTCAAAGTTGATAGGAAAGCGACAAGCTAGAGGAGAGTTCCACAAGTGAGAAATATGAGAGAAGAAACTGTTTGCATAGAACTTACGGTAGCATCTAGCCAGTGCAACTGTAAAATGAGACCTAACCGCCAATTTAGTATTGTGCTTAAATTCATAAAGTTTAGGTACTATAGGGGAAAGCTCACCAGAACCGTTACCATGGACATATTTATAGGAAAAAAACAGTGAAGCTACATTACTGTGGTGGAAAAGTAACTGAAACTGAGATATAATGCCAGGACCGATAACATTACAGAAGATGGAATATCGCCTTAAATACAATGATACAATGACGATCAAATTCATTCAATTAGAATCATCTAATATTAAAGAGATATCAGAATATATTCCTGGATGTGCTTGTAGAGCAACTCCTATCAGCTATGAAATCGAAGTAGCAATCGATGTTCAAATTACGGTTTAGCCTGATGCATTTATTTTTGGGGCAAAATCCCCTGTGAAAAGCATTAATATATCTCTTTTTCCCATCACAACTATATCAGGGTGTACTGTTCTCTCTAGACTTGGGTGACAACTATCGTAGAAGTGCTGTGAATTCAAAGCCACAGAGAAAATAAACGAAAAACCAGGCTTTTAAAAGAAGTAAAAAAAAATTACTGATAATAAAGAAGAATAGTGTTTACGGGGTGTGGAGTATCGTCTGTACCCAGAAAAGCCCTGACATTAAAATAGTGTACTTTCATAATACAGATGTTACAAACCGTAAAATGGACTAAGGTGCCAGATCTTGTTTAAAGTTTTGATGACCACACCCATTCTAACACCGATTTAACGTTTCGTATTTCGAACTTTTATCAAGTGATGTATATCAGATCTGTGATATTCTTCTGTGCCATTTGTGTTTATAAAGCGTATTACGTGCATACTTTCGTTAATCAATTCACCTTAAGGAAGGAGAGAAAGCCACTGAGACATAAGATAAAAGGGTAACAAGAGTGTTGGAAAACAAAACCATTAAGTGGCTTGTAAGTCACATATTCTCTCGTATAAAAGAAGTTAATGGCCTCAGATCCAATGTGTGCCCTGGCCTTGTCGCGTGATGTTTTTTCTCCTCTCTGCCAAATATCAAACGAAACACCCGTCTCCTCCACTTGTGCGCGCACTCAACTCATATGTTTCCAAATACAAAAGAAAAGACACATTATTCGAACCTACTGTCAAAAATTAAAACATCGAATTAAGCATATATATATATATATATATATATATATATATATATATATATATATATATATATATATAATCGAATGGGTAAAATAGGTAGGTATCCAAGCGAGCGATCGTATACATATACATATAAATACTCTATAATGTAAGAAAAAAAACTGTGTTCAATGTTAAGTAACAAAGCTATTTAATATATGTATTAAGAAATATTCATATCTTACATTAATTGCACAACTCTGAGTTTCATGCCGAAGTAATTGCTTCTGCATGAAATCTTAATAGGAATCGAACTTCTGATTTTGTTTAGTCATTTCGCCCCAACCAAGGCGATAAAAACACTAAGACGTAAGGGGTCACTCAGTGTTAAGAGTACAGAGAGAAAAAAGACGAGGATTGATGATATATTTACATTTTTGAAAGCCGAAGTGGCAGATAAAAAGAAGCTGGATGCTAGTTCTATGGGCAAGAAGTTGGTTATTTTTGTTTAGCGGCGCATCAACATTTCTATGGGTTAATTAATGCTGAAATCTAAATACTTTATACATCATTTTTTATTAAATAATAATGATTTTAGTGATAAAACACTATTAATTAACCCATAGCTGGGGATAAAAGAGATGGATTCATATCTTTCGCAAGGATATTTGCGCGTAAGGGAATATAACGAACTTAACTAAACCATTATCCACCCCACATCAAAGCGGTCTCCTATCTAGGTACTGACCAGGATAAAGTTGCTTAATTTTGGTGGTCGTACGGGAACGGTTGTTGCAATGTGATGTGGCCGTAAGCCTAGGCAATAATTACGAGAGAAGAAACTATAGTAAAACTTACGGTTACACTTAGCAATTTCAACAGAAAAAGAATGAGACCTAGCTACCAATCTAGTACTGCGCTTAAAATTGTGAAGTCGGGGTATCAAAGAGGAAAGCTCATGAGAAAATGGCCATATAAACTATTTTTAAAAAATGCATAGGTAAAGTAACTTGCATATATATATATATATATATATATATATATATATATATATATATATATATATATATGTTTCAATTAATCCTTCATACAAGAACTAGATTAGTAAAGTTAATGATATAAAATGGCAAAATCCCTTCGCTGACAAAATTCTAAAGGTGCATTAACCTACAAATCACTCGATGAATGTTATGTTCCTTGTTTTTTAAAAACTATAAGCAGTATAAGTTCATTCTTTAATACGCAAGTACTTTGAACTGTACATTCAGTCATCTTCAGGCACGGAAATTATTTTGTTTTTGGTAAAATTCAGGTAGCATCCGAGACGAAATAATACAATGTGAATCAAAATATGTTTTTTGGGCTTTTTTTTAAGTGTTATTGTTAACGCATACAAACTTTTGGAGCGTGCAGGTTGAAAGACATATATATATATATATATATATATATATATATATATATATATATATATATATATATATATAAGAACATAAAGTCAACACTTAGAGGCGACAGTCTGTTTCATCTACATGCAATCGTCAGGCCTGAAACAGACTGTTTACACACGCTCTATCTCTGATATTGAGCACTTTATCCCATAAATATTGCACACCTTAAGACTATATTTCTTCATACACACACACACACACACACACACACACACACATATATATATATATATATATATATATATATATATATATAACTTCACTATTTTATATGTATATGAGGTAACAGTCAAATTTGTGGAAAGTTTTCTGCGATAGAATTATTTGCTCACACATCTGTGCTTAACAACCATTTTCGACAGGGAGTGGTTAATCTGTAATTACATTCATTCATTCATTGAACTGTTGGGTAGCAACTCTTATATACGAGGAAGTGCTGAGTGTCCTCGACTCGATTCAGTTCCCAACATGTGTCCAAATGAACAAACCATAGATTTTTTTTTCTTTTGAAAGTTTTCTCATCTGATCGAAAAATTTTCATTCTCTTGTTAATAATTGTTTGTTTCCAAGTAAACTGATATCTGTCTTTTCAAAGTAGCGACTTCTTTTGAAAGTGGTGTTACCATATACCAGCAAAAAAACGAGGGTTAGAATAAGAGATTCCTGCTGTCATACATGTAGATTATGGGATGACGCTCCATACTTTATCAAGAGTGTGAAATTGAAAGAAAAAGGGAGAGTCTTGAAGATGACTTAAGGGCTGGACATCCTGCAATTGCCACCACCGAGAAAAACATTGATTGTATTCAAAACATGGCGATGGGTGACAAGGGATTGACTATAAATCAAATAGACAATGCTATTAGCATATCTCGTGAGAGAGTTGAGAATATTCTGCACAATGCACTTTGCTCGACAACGGTTTCTGCTCGGAGGTGCCACGTCTTCTGAATACTGGTCAAAAGCGCACCAGGCTGATCACATCAGGTGGAAATCTAGCTGGTTTCCTTGAATGTTTTCTAACCCAGGATGAGCGTTTGGTTCATCACTTTGAGCTAAAGACAAAGAGATAATCCTTGCAGTGGGAACGCCGGTGTTCACTTGCTCCAAAGAGGGCAAAGTCGTTTCTTCTTCAGCAAAGGTTTCTGGGGGATGCAAAAGACACTGACTATCTCCAAAGGGGTCACACCATCAATGGAAAGTACTATGCCAACTTCTCAATTGTAATTGGTTAAGAAATAACAAAACGAAAGGTTACAGATAAATAGTGAATTGAACAGTAAATACAACAGAATGTGTTACACGGCATGGGAGTGTGTGTCGATTGACCAACGTTCAGTCTATATCACTGTTAATATTTAAAAGCCCCTCCCACGAGGGATGTATGTGGCACAAGGCCTAGTTTACCGTGGGTTCTCCGAGCCCGTAGGCTCGGCCAAAAATATTCCCTTAGAACCTGTATAAACGGGTTCAGGGCCTGTCTACCTTCTCGGACGAAACTTTGCTCTTCGGCAAAGCCTCGTCCGGGTTCCTTTCTGCTCAAGGCAGAGAGTTCGACAGTTGAACAGTCTATATCATTGTTATATTTAACGGCACCCCCACGTGGGTCGTATGTGGCACAAGGCCGGTTTAACGTGGATTCTCCGAGCCCGTAGGCTCGGCCAAAAATATTCCATTCGAACACGTATAAACGGGTTCAGGGCTTGTCTACATCCCCGGACGAAACCTTGCTCTTCGGCAAAGCTTCGTCCGAGTTTCTCTCCGCCTCGGCGGAGAGTTTGACAGCAACGAACGGTCTATATCACTGTTCCCCCTAAGCTTACTTTCCTACTACATTATAGTAAGTGGAAGAGGCCACAAGAGCCTCATTAGAGGGAAGACAC